TGACAAGATATTCAAAATGGAGAAATTTTGATAAATAGACGACATTGATAATTGGGCCAAACCAACATACATAAACCCCAAGATCTAGAATGTGTTTAATTAAAAATATTAGTATAGAATGGGGTATTAAATTACAAGATTGACATTATAAACATGACAAAGTAAGGTTAATTTAGGGATATTATATTTTTACAGATTCATTGGCTCTTTTATAATAGTATAGATAGAAGGTTGGCTCCACTATGGAGTCAACTGATGGATTCATAGCAAAACCGGTTTCTTATATTATGTGATAATACACTCTTTTTATTTGTGATTTGTGTGTTGTGGTGGAAGTTTTGCATTTAAAAAAAAAATTATGAGAAAAGTAGTTTCGCTTAGGAATTGATGTTTATTTTTTTAGATGACATTATAAGATAAAAGGAAATTTTGATGTAGGAAGAGGAATACATGATAAGGTTGTACTTATAATGGGGCCTTCTAGTACATGTGATATTACCACGCTCTCTATTCCTAAAAATAAATATAAGGAAAAAAAAAATCTCGAACAGCGAAACTTTAAATAGAGGAAAGCTCATGCTCAAGTGGAACAAAAAAGAATTAAACAATAACATTTGCATCACAAGATGAAGTGAAATAAGGAGAAGCTGTTGTAGGAGTTTTAAAAGAAAATTGAAGTGCGTACCCTTCTTTTGGAAGGATTGTATCCCGACTTTTTTATCTCCTCTTTTCGGTACTGCTACGGAGTCTTAATCTTCGTTGTTAGTTTCAGTTATTGTAAGTGAAAAAAAAATAAAAAATGATAAACTTAGAATCTAGGAAGGCTGAATTTTGTGAGTAGGGCAATTGCATACGAAGAGGATGATGCCCTAGATATGGCGAATACACTATTTGGAATTGGATAGATACAAAATAAACTGAACATTAGCCATTCACACACACACAATGTGGTTGATTATTGATCACTTAATTTTGCATTATTTATTGTATTCATCTTTCTGGCTCCAAAAAATCCTTTTTTTT